GGCTCAGGGTAAGGTCACCAGAGTGATATTACAGGTGTTTATGATACAACCGGACTGATATTACAGGTTGTTATAATACCAACGGACTGATATTACAGGTTGCTATAATACCATCGGACTGATATTACAGGTTGTTATGATACCATTGGGCTGATATTACAGGTGGTTCTAATACCACCGGACTGATATTACAGGCTGTTATAATACCACCGGACTGATATTAGAGGTTGTTATAATACCACCGGACTGATATTAGAGGTTGTTATAATACCACTGGACTGATATTACAGGTGGTTATAATACCACTGGTCTGATATTACAGGTGGTTATGATACTACAGGACTGATATTACAGGTTGTTATAATACCACCGGACTGATATTACAGGTGGTTATGATACTAATGGACTGATATTACAGGTGGTTATGATACCACCGGACTGATATTACAGGTTGTTATGATACCACCGGACTGATATTGCAGGTTGTTATAATGATCGAAGTGCCAGATGAGTGAACTTGTCCATTTAACTCAGACTGACCATTAATTTAACTCGGGTTAATTTGTTTAGGAAAATTGACTGCTGAATCTTTCCACCAATCAGCAATGTGGCTTGCTAGTAATTAGATTGGATATTGGAGACAAGATCTATAGAGGAATCAGGGTACACAAAGGTGAGGGGAGGCAGGAGGCACCTTATATTTGATATTGTATTGGAAACAAGGTGTATAGAGGAATGGGGTAGACAGGGGGGCAGGGAGGTAGCTCATATTGTTTATTGGGAGCAAGGTCTATAGAGGGGGGGGGGGCAGGGAGGTAGCTCATATTGGATATTGGAAACATGGTCTATAGAGGGGCGAAGGGGGGTAGCTCATATTGGATATTGGGAGCAAGGTCTATTAGAGGGGGGGGGGGGGGGCAGGGAGACACCTCATATTGTATGTTGGAACCAAGGTCTATAGAGGGAGGTAGCTCATATTGGATATTGGAAACATGGTCTATAGAGGGGCGAAGGGGGGTAGCTCATATTGGATATTGGGAGCAATGTCTATAGAGGGGCGAAGGGGGGGACCTCATATTGGGGCACAGATTTGTTTTTTTTTAAACAAATGTCACATGTTATTAGTCAGAAAATAATGAAATGAAATAGGATTTTAACATCCTACTATCCTGCTCCTTCAGGGCTTATAGAGACAGAGAATCACCATACAGATAGCCCTACTCTTATATCGAATTCCATCTGCTAAGGGATCTGTTATGTGAATGCCAATATGTACCTTGGCCCTCTGTATTGCACAACTGGCAAGGGGGAATCAAGCCAACACCAGGATCGAAAACACTTGACGCAATAGGTTCACAAAATAACCAAATTTGTCTGAAATGTGTGGGTGTTCGTCTCTCCCTCATCGATTTAATATTTGAGTCTGCCATGTAGTAGAAAATGTCTGGTTGGTTACGGGGGCGTGGATGGTCGAATGTTTGGCATGTGCGTGATGTATCATAAAGTCTGTCGTTGAGTCAACTGGTGGGATTTCGATTCCCCGGTTGATTTCGATTCCCCGGTTGTATGTGACAAGGAGTAGGGTCGCCTGTCCAATCTCGTGGGTTTTCTCCTGTTTCCTCCCACTGCTAAAGACCCCTACACGCAAGCGGATCATTGAAATAAAATTGAACCATGTGTTAGTCCCAAAATGACCTAGTTTGTGTTGAGTGGACGTTAAACCCCATCTCTCTCTCTCATCTCTGGTTGGTTACAGTTCAAGTTTGATTACCTCAGTTAGTTGCACCGCATATAATACTGTAATATGAATGTATATAAACTGATTTACATTTAATGGTTTCCGTTTTTACTCCAATTTCAAATCAGTTATGTTCGGCGAAATAAGTCAGCAATCTCAATCGAGTACAAATTTCTAGCGTCTAGTTATTCTAGTCTACATAACTCCATTTGAAATTGGAGTAAAAACGGAAACCATTAAATGTAAATCAGTTTATATACATTCATATTACAGTATTATATGTGTTGCAACCCACTTTTGTGAATTCCTAGGTCCCAAATGTTAGCGATTTAGCTCCTTTAAATGCCATTTCTCTCTCTCTCCTATACTGTTCACAGCAGTTTTTCACCATCCAAATGAGGAGGTAGATACTCGCTGTTCCATGCCAGTCCCTTTGTCCTACACCACTGATTTGCAGGGTTGGGCAGGACACATGCTGAAAGAAAATTCTGAGGAACTTTTTCAGTGAGTCACCCTGGCTCCCCAAACCCCTCTACCTTTGCTTCCATAACATGCACGCACATTCTCTCTCTCTCTCTTTCTCTCTCTCTCTCTCTTCACAACAGTTGTATCTTGGTTTATAGTTTTAAACAAATAAAATGTTCTCATGCCAGATTTGAAATCTTGTGAGGTTTTAAGTTTGACGTTAAATTACTCAGGGAAAAACAAAAATTGTTATTTTGGTGTAAAGCAAACGAAGCAAATAGCCAAATTCCAGTTGACATATCTTGACTTGTGTTACAACCTTATTGATTGGCTGTAAAACTTCTTCTAAAGGAACAAGAAAACGAGATGAATGCTGTTTTTCATGAGAAATCTGCTAGGAGAAAGGTCTGTAGAGTTGAAGCCAATATCTGACTGATTATAGCAACGTTTATATCTAATAGTCTTTTCTCGTATCTGGCTGTGATTTCTACGTTTAAACAGAATTTTTTCTAGTCCACATTCTTTTATTATTATTTAGTAATTTATTGCTTTTGGTGCGATAAAGGGACTTGTCGTTTGGTGCGATAAAGGGACTTGTCTTTTGGTGTGATAAAGTGACTTGTCTTTTGATGCGATAAAGGGACTTGTCTTTTGATGCGATAAAGGGACTTGTCATTTGGTGCGATAAACTGACTTGTCTTTCGGTGAGATAAAGTGTCGAACATAGACCTGATGTACTCTTTTGTTAATGCGTAAATTCTTGTTACATTTTCTACTTGGCAGTGACATGTTTATGTTTCAACGGTTGAAAATTGCAAAATTCCATTGACACATTTCAACAATTATACCAAGAGAATGTTATGTTTCCATTTATGTCTACAGCGTAATTAATCAAAGTTCTAACATAATTTATGTCTACAGCGTAATTAATCAAAGTGCTAACAGAATTTTTTAAAACATTTTTAACATTTTAAAATTGGTAGCACATGGAAATCGTTTACAAATTGATCTGTTGAACATCTGCCATCTTTGTGGGTTTTTTCGTTAACATAATTAATTTTGTGTATATGCAGTATATATCTGTATGTAATCAGTGTTCTTTGTATTGAGACTTGTCAACGACAATGTAACACGATTCCATGTATTTGATTATTTCTGTATTTCTCTCTGTGGACAGAAGTTACGTAACTGATAACTGATTCATCTGTACGTATTTAACAAAAACTACTCGAGATAATTAATTATTCCAGGGTGACTTATCAAGGCCGTTGTTTTGATTCTACAGCTTTTAGCCAGGAGAACTATAATATGGAGCTGTGTGTGTATGTATATATAATAGTTATATAACCGTGGTGTATTGACAGGATAGATTTATGAGTGCTTCCAATACGACTGTTAACCAGTGTAACATCGCTAGCTAACTCATACCTGGGATTTATCAGAGAGATATTCACACACCAGTATATAATATTCTCATTAGTATAAATTCACTCTTGTATCTTCTCGGGTTATTGGGATTTCTGTGTTTTTATCCCGTTTTCTCACCCTATATATCTGTTAATATTGGATATTAATATTAATAATTCTGATGAGACAGAAGGGCAAATTACTGGGTATTATTTGTTAATTGTACCAATAGAAACCAGTAATTTATCATCACATGAGATATTTACACATCACTGACATCTGGGACAATTTAAAACAAACAGAACTGTGCACATTATTAATATTGCAATATTGATGTAATGGATTTCATCAAGTGTGTTAATTTGTTTTTCGATTCTAAATGATTTGGTGAGAGACTGATACTATATACGAATATTGTGTCTATTTGTAACAAGACTTGTACAAAAGGTAGGCTATAATTTAGTGAACTCTTACACATGTATGTAATACCACAGAAGGATGAACAAACATAAAATGTTTAAATCGAACGATGATCAGTGAAATATAATTGATAAGCGATCAGAATATCCCAGCGTCATTAGATTTTAGATATAGACTAGAAGAGGAAGCAGAAACTACAAAGAGAGATATGTTAGATATGCTGCTGTACATTCGAATATAAAGTATCAAGAATTCAATATACTATCAATAATATTTCATAGAGGGTTATAGATGTTTGAAATTTGGCTGTTGGGTGTCATTGCGTATAACCTACAGGCAGCTATTTAAACTGTGTGTTATTGCGTATATCATACAGATATAATCATTTAAACAAGTATTTAACTGTGCATTATTGTGTATATCCTGTAGATATAATAATATTAATTCCTTTTTAACTGAGCATTATTGTGTATACCCTGTAGATATGATAATTTTAATAGCTATTTAACTGTGCATTATTGCGTAAATCATACAGATATAATAACTTGGATTTAACTGTGCAATATTGCGTATATCCTAATGATTTAATAATATTAACATCTATCTAACTGTGCATATATCCTGAATATATAATAATATTACCTCTTATTTAACTGTGCATTATTGCGCATATCCAGAATATATAATAATATTACCCCTTATTTAACAGCGCATTATTGCGTATATCCTGAAGATATAATAATATTAATATAGTTTCATAAACTAGAGAGGAATTTATTGGAAGATTAAATTATTTGATGAATAATTCATTCAATTATATAACATCAGGAATGCTTCATACCACATGTACTTTAGATGTTATCTTTAAAAAAACTTGAACCATAATTGTTGAGAAAACCCCCATCAGTACCTTTAACAGGATAGAAATCTATTTCTGTGATTCTGTTTTGTAGTTTAAGAGTTGCCGAATGCGATTTCATCCATTTTATTGTTATAATTGTGGACATGAACTAGAAAATGAATTGAAAGATACACGATGGTAATAATGGACTTGTAGGTAATCATGTGAATGTATTACTCTATTGCGATAGCATATAGTTTTATCAGTTGAACATTGGCTGACATTACGAGAGCACAGTCGTATAACAATATCGTGTCACTCTTGTCTCTAGGAGAAGCGATTATACAGGATCTTCCTGATATCCGAGTGTGGCAGTGGATTCCCTACCTGACTACCATTTATCTTCGTCAGTTGACTGCGACACTACTCTACGCTACATGTGATGATTCTATTCATACAGGAATAGTCGTTTTCTACATTCCCAACATCTGGAAGAGTTCTCTTGAGACTGGGGCGTTCTGTGAGACGCTGTCATATTGTTTATTAATTAATTCCACGAGGAACGAATCCACGAAAATTAAAAACATTAAATTTATTGATATCTCATTCTTTGTGAATTCGACATAAACATTTATTCAGCGTTAAAGAATTTGGTTGAATATTGAATATTCAGTTTGTAACATCTCCTAGCAACGGTCGACATAGTGACTGGTATATTTTTGTGTTAACTGTGATTTTTGTGAAAGGGATTACAGTGTTATATTTCACACCATTCCAAGTTTGATCAGTAGTAATTCTATTTATATTAAAGAGTGTTAGAGATATAAACAATCTATCGGACTTATACACCATTTATATTTCATGGTTTTAACAGGTCGGTAGTAACGAACAACACATTCAAACAATTCTCTCAATTTTATACAATTTATTTCTAATGTCGGAAATTACTGACAGAATTTTTACAGTATATTTTCTAATGTCGGAAATATTTTATTCGTTTGTTGTTTGAGAAATTGACAGATTTTATGCTTCACATGACATTGTGATTTTATGAGTTTTCTGAGAAATCAAGAATATTCAGATATTTTTTTTGTTATTCAAAATTTGAGGAGACGGAGCTATGTTTTGTGAATAATATTTAAAGTAAAATTCATATATGTGCTCAATATGCTGATTGACCATTGACTCTCAGTGCGTTTAAATTATCTTAACGAAAATCGTGAATTTTTAAAGGCGGAGATAAACTAGTTGTGTATAAAATATTTGATTTCTTTGAAAGAAAAACACAAATTTTATTCAGTGAGCTTGACATTCGAGTTTTAATTGATATTTATGAATGTTACGAAAAGTTTGCTAAAAAACGGGCGAATGTTTCGAATGATCATCTATCAGTTGTTCCCTCCACTCAGAAAGCACCTGTTGTTCTCCAAGGAAAAAAGTAAGTAGACTTATTATAATCTTTTTGATTGATTTTCTACTCTATTGTATATTCAGCTGTTGTTGAACACAAATAGGTTTCATACACCAGGCAGTGTATGTTTCTATAGGTTTCATACACCTGGCAGTATATGCATCAATAAATAGGTTTCATACACCAATCAGTATAAATAGGTTTCATACACCTGGCAGTTATATGCACCAATAAATAGGTTTCATACGCCTGGCAGTATATGTTTCTATAGGTTTCATACACCTGGCAGTGTATGCATCAATAAATAGGTTTCATACACCAGGCAGTATATGTTTCTATAGGTTTCATACACCTGGCAGTGTATGCATCAATAAATAGGTTTCATACACCAGGCAGTGTATGCATCAATAAATAGGTTTCATACACCAGCCAGTATATGCACCAATAAATAGGTTTCGTACACCAGGCAGTATATGTATATATAATATAGAATTTGATCTGTCTTCCATATGTGGTGTTCATATATCGTGGGGATGGGGGAGGGGTGCTAGATTGTACTGCATCCTGTGGTAAATTTGAATTTTCCTCCTTCTGATTTGGTTGTGGGGAATCCCCTAGGTATAGGTGCATGGATTCTGATTTGGTTGTGGGGAATTCCCCTAGGTATAGGTGCATGGATTCTGTTTGGATTAGTTTTGATGGTTGATAACCAGGAACAACAAAATATTGAGTTTATTTGTTACATTTTTTTAAAAAAATTTTCTCTTTTAAAAAATGAGATAAGGTAAAAAAAACAAACTACGTACGGTGGCAGTCTCAAGATTTTGTATTTGATTTGAATGAATTGATGTATATAACATGGGGATACTGACAACTTACACACCATTGTGTATGTTATAGGAGCATTATGGGAGATTAGATAAAGAGTTGGCAGTTCTTGCTGTAATAGTTAAAAAATATAACGTAAATAGAATATGCTGAAAATTTCAGTCAAATTGATCCACTCTGAACTGAGATATTAGCTTTTGAATTTTAGGCCTAGTCTTGATCATCATTACTAAAGTTGGTACCGTAAAAAATAAAGTCTTGATTACCCATTTTTATGTTTAATTATTTTTCAAAACATGTATTCCAATCGGCTAAATATTGGAGGTTTAGGGACGGCATCGAGAGTTGATTATGGTCCGGATAAGTTAATTAATGTCTGATTAATAATTTAGATAACATTTCAGACCTAAAGCAAGACATGCAATAGGCAGATTTAGCTCTTGCATAATGTATGTTTATATTAGCATAAATTAGACAAGAAGGATGTGTATGTGCATTTACATATCCCCTTCTTCTCTCACTTACATATCCTTATAAGGATATAGCCCCATCTGGATAATGGAGTGTAGTAGTTAGTTGATCAGGTGTCCAGGTGTGATCCAGGTGTATAATTTATTTATTAACTGTTTATTGACTTTACCTGGCATATTTTCTTGGGAACCAGGGGGATGAATTAATTATTAATACGGCAAGCCTAATTACATCGGTTGTAGTAGCAACGAATAAATCTGCTATGTTATATAAGAACGTAACATCATTCTGCAATTAATTCACTGATTACTTTTAACGTTTCTTTCATTTGGATAAAAAAATAAACATTTTGATTTATTGAAATATGATGTGTTGATTTGGTTAAATAAGATGTGTTGATTTCTTTTGCAAACTGTCTGGCCAGTCGTTCTTATGAATTGAGAAACGGAGGTCTCGTTTATATCATTGAACGCAATATAATGATTCTTTGATAGGTGGGGGGGGGGGGGCGGGTGGATGGCTGAACGGTTAGCGCATGCACATTGTCTCATTAGGTCTGTCATTGACTCATCTGACGTGGTTTCGATTACCCGGTTATATGTGACAAGGAGTCTGGTTGCCTGTCCGACCTCGTGGGTTTTCTCCAGTTACCTCCCCTACACCTAAGCGAATTATTGAAATAAAATTGAACTATGTGTTAGTCCAGAAATGACCTAGTTTGTGTGGAGTGGATGTTAAACCCCACTTGCTTAAACCCTATTTATCCATCTATCTCCTTTTAGATTTTGCGTTATGACAGACAACAATCGCGATATAGCAGTCAACAGTCGAGTTGCGTTCAACTATTAATATTGAAATACCCATGTGAAAGTTTGGTAGGATATTGAAATGCTTGGTTATAATATAATTCCTGTTTATTATGTTGGTGTATTGAGGTACTGGCTCACTAACTGGGAGGTCCTGGCTCACTAACTTGGAGGTACTGGCTAACTAACTGGGAGGTCCTGGCACACACAGTGGATCTTTGTGCACAGACAGCCGATCTTTGTACCCAAACAGCTGATCTTTGTACATATACCGGCGATCTTTGTACACATACAGCCGATCAGTCCCATCTGTTACATGATTGTTACAAATCTTCATAGATCAAACAATGCTTGTTGTATACCCTACAATTTCTTCGTGATTTTATTGTCACCAATTATAGGTAGCATTATTAATCGTATAATGATTAATTGAAATGGACACTAATGAAAAGATAACATGGTCCTTTCATGTTTCACTTTCTACTTATTTAGTTTACTTTAAAGTGACTATCAGATGGTGAATTAACCATCTTTGATTTGTCAGTGAAAGCGTGTTAATTGAGTGACAGAAACATGTGATCATATCTGTGCATGAGTGATCCCTTTATTGGGCAACAAAATTGGGTGAAAGCTTGTGATCATATCAGTGTGTGAATGACTCTCCCCTGCCTGGCCACATTCCACCCCAAACAAGTTTAAGAGGTCACTGCAGTAATAAAATCACATTTATGTAAGAATAGGGAATCTGGTAGTCAAGAGCTATGGACACTTGATCACTCTTGGCTTAATGTCTGGGGATTGAATCCCACTGATTGGGGGTAGCACACCCATGGGGCTGATAACTAAAGTGTTGACAAGTGGTTCGGAGTGGACAGAAAACCTGAATCCTTGATAGATGTAAATCTAGGAAGAGTTGGTAGGTCTATTATTGCAGGTGCTTGGTTAAAATTATCCTCCCTAGAATTAAACAAAAACAACATGTTATCTCAAAATAAAGTACTGAGTTGAGGAGATGATAGACTCCATTCAGTTCCTTATATTCCTTTAAATGGAACACTTCAAATAGAACATTAGAATGCTTCAAATAGAATACTTCAAATAGAGAGCTTCAAATAGAATGCTTCAAATATAGCACTTCAAATAGAAGGCTTCACATAAAATACTTCACATAAAAGACTTCAAGTCCAACACTTGAAAAGTCTATTTCAACTATTTAAATATGGTAGAATAGTTATTATATTGAATAAATATTTTTACATTTGTTTAAATAATTGATATATTAAATAAATATTTATTAATATGTTTGAATAATTGATCTATTAAATTGGTTGGATGTATACATTTGGTTAAATGATTTTTATATTAAATAAATATTTATACATTTGGTTAAACAATTTTTATATTAAATAAATATTTATACATTTGGTTAGATAATTAAATATTCGATTATATATTGAATGAATAAAGAGATATCAACTGATGCGAAAACTAACTTGTATTTTTTACCACTGAACATCTAGGAGAGTGGTGGTGGTCGAACACTTGTTCTTTACCTCGTAAGGTCTGTCATTGAGTCAAGTTTGTATGGGTCTGTCTCTATCTCTCCCTGTCTGTCTCTATCTCTCTCTGTCTGTCTCTATCTCTCCCTGTCTGTCTCTATCTCTCCCTGTCTGTCTCTATCTCTCTCTGTCTGTCTCTATCTCTCCCTGTCTGTCTCTATCTCTCTCTCTGTGTCTCTATCTCTCCCTGTCTGTCTCTATCTCTCTCTCTGTGTCTCTATCTCTCTCTGTCTGCCTCTATCTCTCCCTGTCTGTCTCTCTCTCTGTCTCTCTCTCTCTGTCTGTCTCTATCTCTCCCTGTCTGTCTCTATCTCTCCCTGTCTGTCTCTATCTGTCTCTGTCTCTATCTCTCCCTGTCTGTCTCTATCTCTCTCTGTCTGTCTCTATCTCTCTCTCTCTCTGTCTCTATCTCTCCCTGTCTGTCTCTATCTGTCTCTGTCTGTCTCTATCTCTTCCTGTCTGTCTCTATCTCTCCCTGTCTGTCTCTATCTCTCTCTGTCTGTCTCTATCTCTCTCTGTCTGTCTCTAACTCTCTCTGTCTCTCTCTATCTCTCTCTGTCTGTCTCTATCTCTCTCTGTCTGTCTCTATCTCTCTGTCTGTCTCTATCTCTCTCTGTCTGTCTCTATCTCTCCCTGTCTGTCTCTATCTGTCTCTGTCTCTATCTCTCCCTGTCTGTCTCTATCTCTCCCTGTCTGTCTCTATCTCTCTCTCTCTGTCTCTATCTCTCTCTCTGTCTGTCTCTATCTCTGTCTGTCTGTCTCTATCTCTCCCTGTCTGTCTCTCTCTCTCTCTCTGTCTCTATCTCTCCCTGTCTGTCTCTATCTCTCCCTGTCTGTCTCTATCTCTCTCTGTCTGTCTCTATCTCTCTCTGTCTGTCTCTATCTCTCCCTGTCTCTCCCTGTCTGTCTCTATCTCTCTCTGTCTGTCTCTATCTCTCTCTGTCTGTCTCTATCTCTCTGTCTGTCTCTATCTCTCTCTGTCTGTCTCTATCTCTCCCTGTCTGTCTCTATCTGTCTCTGTCTCTATCTCTCCCTGTCTGTCTCTATCTCTCCCTGTCTGTCTCTATCTCTCTCTCTCTGTCTCTATCTCTCTCTCTCTGTCTGTCTCTATCTCTGTCTGTCTGTCTCTATCTCTCCCTGTCTGTCTCTCTCTCTCTCTCTGTCTCTATCTCTCCCTGTCTGTCTCTATCTCTCCCTGTCTGTCTCTATCTCTCTCTGTCTCTCTCTCTCTCTGTCTGTCTGTGTGTGTGTGTGTCTCTCTCCAAATGGGGGGAGGGGGATGGCTGAATGGTTAGCGTGCGCGCGCTGTATCATAAAGTCTGTCATTGAGTCGACTGGCGTGGTTTCGAATCTCCAGTTGTAC